CTGCATAAATAAATAAATCCACATAGAACACTTCCAGGTGTTTATATTGGGGAGGGTCTGTATGTCAATAGTCTGTAAGATCAATACCAAAACTCTTTTGCCGCCTTCAAGACGAAAACGTTTTCCTAACCATTGGTGGATGCTGCTGACGTTTTCATATACATGCCAGATGGAGCAGCCTGCAGTCCGGACAAAGCTAATATTGAATAAAACCTTTTACCGCTTGGCTGGTGCAAGCTGGTGTTAGTTTTGCCGTAGATACAGACCCTGGAGGTCTTTCAATAATGCACAATCAAAATCCACAATTTTGTTTTTCTGATTCGGTTTGCTTCTGTGGGTTGTTCTATGCAGGTACTGTATCTCTTTGCAAACATCTTCGTATCAAAGTCTTTTGAGGTTTTTTTTCTGAACCTGCTTTGCTCTCAAAATGCTCGCGAGGACAGATTTCTGATTCAATATATGTTTGGACGACGGGTGGCTTTATTATGAGCTCGTCCCAAGTTGTGCGAGTAATGTATGCAACTTGGAATAACTCGGGAACATGTGTTCTTTACCTGGATGGCTCTTGGTGGTCTTTTTTGGATTTGATTATGTACAAGATTTTCCAGTGTGACCCATAAAGAGTTTTTCCTGATCCACATCTAAATGTGGTGGTCTTTTTTGGATTTGATTATGTACGAGATTTTCCAGTGTGACCCGTACAGAGTTTTTCCTGATCCACATCTAAATGATCAGAGACAAAGTTCAGCAGTTATTCCATATTTCTTTTTGGGGAACTGCCAAGACTCTTTGGCTTGAGCGCGGTGGGTTTACTTGGGCAGCGTTCTGTTCTGTTTGTACCTGCATCGCAAATGATAACTGGTTTTCTTGATTCTGAGGGTCCTTTTCCTGCTCCTTTTCTATAACTGGTTTTCTTGATTCTGAGGGTCCTCTTCTGTTTCTGGCTCCTTTTCTGGATCTTAGGCTAGCTTCTGGAATCTTTGTAGCTTCCAGAAAGACTTAGACACTCTTTGCCTGTAGTCCCCTTTCCCTTTCATTCTTACACTTCCACATGCGTCTTGAAGGGCAAGCAAGAAGGTGCTAGAGAGGACGTTTTAAAATAAATTCAGGCCCAATTGGTCAGGCTCCCTCCCAGCAGTCAGAGCCATCCCCTGACCTCAAAACAGGTGTTTTTGGTCTCTCCTGGTCAGCTCCATATTGCAGCTTTTTACAAAACAGGAGGAAATGCTATCTGTGCAAGACTTTAACATTTCCCCTGCACACCCCACAAATACTTACTCCTGGCTCGGTTTTGCTCTTTATGGTCATGGGACAGGTTGCAGATGCTTGCAGTCTTAAGTGTAGACTAAGTCTAGATGGGCAGCATATAAGCCTAATAAATAAAATAATAAATAAATACAGTGGTGCCTCGCTAGACAGTTACTCCTCAGAACAGTTTTTTCGCTAGACATCGACTTTTTGCGATCGCTATAGTGATTCGCAAAACAGTGATTCCTATGGGGGAATTTCGCAGGACAATGTTCGGTCCCTGCTTCGCAAACCGATTTTCGCTACACGATGGTTTTGACAGCTTCCTCCGTGCTCACAAAACAAGTGTTTTCGGGACCTACGCTTCGCAAGACAGCCATTTAAACAGCTAATCGGCGGTTCGCAAAGCGGCTTTCCTATGGCCGATCTTTGCTAGACAACACCGATTCTTCCCCATTGGAACACATTAAACAGGTTTCTATGCATTCCAGTGGGGAAATGCTTTTCGCTAGACGATGATTTCACTAAACAGCGATTTCAGTGGAATGGATTATCATCGTCTAGCGAGGCACCACTGTAAATAAAAATAAGTCTTATCCCTTTAGCCACTTTTGGAGTGACAGGGATGCTGCAGATGGCCGGAACCTTTCGGAATCTCTTTCAGGTGGAAGGGGGTGGGGGTGGAAATAAATAAAAACAGGGACAACAGTTTGGGACAGTAACCTCAGATGAGCTGACCACCGATGGCGGTGAACGACTGAAGCCACCGCGTGCCTCCCTCTTCTTTGATCTGTGACAAAAGCTGCTTTGGTCTGTGTGGTGGAGTTTATGCTGCAAAAAATGCGTCGTAGACTGGCAAAGCATTGTCAGCTGAGTCATTACAGTACCTTATTAAGTTTCGAAGATCAGTGCCAGATAAGATATGATTGCTCTAGATTCCCAATCCACAGAGAGAGAGAGAGAGAGTTTACAAATGGGATTTTCATGTATTTAAATTCCCCGTTCACAGGTTTTTGTGGTGCACCAAAAACCTGTGGGACCACAGATGGGTCATAAATATACTCTGTGTGAAAGGATACTTTCTCCTGTGTTGTGACTTCCCATTCATTGAAAAGTACTCTCTGGCTTCAGATTCTGCTCCCTCCGTGGAGGAAGCCCCCTGCAAGTTGTTATGTATTCGTCAGGCAGTTAATCCCTTTCAAGTTTGCTTTGTAAGACCGACTTACTTGCATTTTATTTTTATTATCTTGCTGGTTTTTTTTACATAGATGGCTGTGTCCCCCGAGAGTGCCTCAGTTTGAACAGATGTGTTGAGGAGTATAGTAGAGATCCCTTGTGGCTAAATGGACTAAAGGGCTGGACTGGGAAACAGATGTGGTGGGTGGCCAGATTTTTTCCCCCAAAAAATTTAGAGATAACTTACGATCTGAAAGTTTCCAGAATCTTCTCTGCCGCTTACGTTGGTGAAACGTCATTGTGACAGTTGTGGCAGTAAATGGTTGCTTATTAATGAGTTTCCGATTGCATTTCTGGCCCCAAGTGAGTCACACAACCAAGAATCTGATTGGGAACTCATTCATTAGTGGTCGTTAGCTTCCATGATTTATGGAATTACATTTATGCCTGCATGAATCCCCAAGAAGATTCTAGCCAAGAGCACATATTAGCCATATTAGGAATCAAGAGCTCCTTACAGCAAACAACGATAAAAATCAATCCTGATAAAATATAACAAATTATAATATATTTACCCCCACAAATTACACTAAAGTATTCTGCTGGACTAGAATTTGGGATGTTCATTTTCTAGTCTATGCGGGGTATTGAAATTCACAGCTATGACCTTTATCTCAGTGATGACCTTCCTTCAATATTATTTGAGGACAAAGCAGGAAAGAGGAGGAGGAGATCCATGCAGAACACCTTGAACTCCTAAGGCACGATATTACGAGCATTACTCGTAGCATTGCTTAAAAAAACTAGAGAGCAAATAGAGAAATCTGTGCATAGTACAGTGGATAAAGTGTCAGAGGCAAAGCAATTAAAATTCCTACTCGGGCATGGAAATTCATGGGGGGTGGGGAGTGGAATAGTAAACCACTCCTTGAACATCTCACATGCCTATAAAACACTGCAGAGTCACAGTAATTAATTTTTTTACAGCCCATACCAATAATATTTATTGAGTTTTTTTTAAAAGCCATGCTAACTGAAGCTGGCTGTAGAACTCCATGGTTTTAGATAGAGGGTGGGAGTTCCATTTCCCCCCAGTGCCTCCTGGGAGTAGAGCCAGCCTGGTTAGCCTTGGGCCAGCTGCACAGTCCACAGAGCGCCCCTAGAGGAAGAGAAGGGTAATGCACTTCTGAGTACTCTCTACCCAAAAAACCCTGGGAAGGGTCACCATAAGTCAGAATGGACTTGAGGGCGCGTGATGACGATGATTAACTAATGTGAACAAAACTCCGTCAATTTGTAGTTTTAAAACTGGGGCTGCCACTTAATGTGGTTGCACTTTTTACGAGAGTTTAGCAGAATACAGCATTTCAGAATCTGGAGCCAGGATGACCCTGCTGAGAGAGACCGTTCACTGAATTATGGCTTTCACCCTAGCATCATTTTTTTTGGCCACGGGGTCACTAGGAGGTAGAAGCAACAGGAGGGGGGCGGGATTTGGAGAGGTTTTGGAGAGACAATGGGATAAAAAGTATTTAGGATTTCTGATATTTTGAAGAGGGGATTGTTCAACCCAAAACATGTTCATGGGGCAACATTTCAAACGGAACATTTGACATGATTCCACCTGAAATAAAGGTTTGCGATTAAGGGGAGACATGCTAAATAAAGAGATATAAAATAATACTTGATGTAGAGAAAGTAGATGGGGGAAGATATTTGCCTCTGTTATAATACTGAAAACTGTGGTTTATCCACTGAAGGGGAATGATAGAAATTTCGGACAATTAACAGGAAGTTTTTTTCATACTACCCGGAATTGAATGGTGGGATTCACTACTGTGGGAGGTAGCAATGTCTGCCAGCTTGAACAGCTTTGAAGGAGGTTTAGATGAATGTCCAGAGGGTAGGGTTACTATTCTTATGTTCTTACAGACTTTAAAACGAACAAACAAGCAGAATGCAACTGTATTCTCGAAGGCATTCATGGCCAGGATCCGATGGTTGTTGTATGTTTTTCAGGCTGTTTGGCTGTGATCTGGAGGTTTTTCTTCCTAACATTTTGCCAGTCTCTGTGGCCGGCATCTTCAGAGGACAGGCGTTTGTGTTCTGGTGTACTGTGTGGGGTAGTTGAGGATTTGCAGCTGTGGGATCAGGTTTTTGTCCTTTTCAGGAGACTGGGTGATTATTGTGATTAAGGTGTTTTTTTTGTTATGGGTGTATTGTTGTGATAAGGGGGGGAGATGATCTGTCACTGTGATTGATGGGTGTCGTTAGCTAGTCTTTTGTCTGCAGTGATCACCAGTTCTTGTGGCTGGGTAGAGTTCGTTGACCTTTTGGAGGCTGTAAATCTCCTGAAAAGGACAAAAAGCTGATCCCACAGCTACAGATACTCATCTGTCCCACACGCCACACCAGAACACAGACAGAGTTCTGACTCTTCTCCTCTGAAGATGCCGGCCACAGAGACTGGTGAAATGTTAGGAAGAAAAACCTTCAGAACACGTCCAAAGAAAATGCAACTGTTTTTCTTGATGACGTTGCTTGTGATTCAGTTTTGCTTTGGATTATGACTCGAACACTCCTATTGCAGGCATGGCTGCAGTTGTATGGCTACCTCCCAAAGGCCAGCCGCCAGATGTCCACACTGCGCTCGGCTCAGATCCTTTCCTCCGCCGTTTCTGAGATGCAGAGTTTTTATGGCATCCCTGTGACAGGGATTTTGGATGAGGAGACGAAAGCGTAAGTTTTTCTCGGCGCGAAAGGCATAGCCCCGCTGTGGACTGCATCCCCAGTGGGCTCAGAGGAGCAATGACAGAATCTATCATTGCCTATGGAGGCCTTCAAGAGCAAACTGGACACCTGCCTGCCAGATCTGCTTTGATTTGGATTCCTGCCTTGAACAGGGGGTTGGACTTGATGACCTTAGAGGCCCCTTCCAACTCTTCAATTATTCTATGATTCTACATCTGATGGGAGACATCCCCAGAGGATATGATAGAAATTGCAAAGTGAGATCTTTCTTTATAAGACGCTAATTTTCCATTTTCTTTCCCTGCTGATCCCCAGTCCATTGGATTAATTTATGGCCCACATTCCCTTGGCTTTGCTAGAAAATGTGGAATCGAATCGTAAAATAACGGTGTTGGAAAGGCCTTCTAAGGCCATCGAGTCCAACCCCTTGCTCAGTGCAGGAATCCAAATCAAAGCAGATCTGACAGAGGGTGGTCCAATTTTCTCTTCAATGCCTCCAGTCTTAGAGCGCTCACCACCCGTGGCTTCCCTTGTCGTACTGCTGTAACAGATCTTCAGCCAAAATCTGGCGTCCTATAACCTGAGTCCATTATTGCATGTACTGTACTCTGAGATGATTGAGAACAGACCCTGCCCTTCTTCTGTGTCTTTCAAGTATTTCAAATGTGTCCTCATATCTTCCCTCCGTCTTCTTTTCTCAAGGCTACACAGGCCCAGTTCTTTCAGTTTTTCCTCCTAGGGCTTCGTTTCCAGTCCCCTGATCATCCTCGTTGCCCTCCTCTGAACTTGCTCTGGTTTCTTGGCACCCTTCTTAAAGTTGTTCCAGCCCCAAGGTATTACAGGGCATAAAAATACTTTCATATCCAAACAAACAAACAATAAGAACATTTTAAATTTGGCAAATCTAGTCAGCACTTGTGATGTGTGCTATCGGGACTGGCTCTCTCCTTAGACGGAGCATGACGGCCAGCCAGCTCCAGGAGCTGTGGAAGGTCAAGAGATGGTTAGTTATTTAATTTTGAATATTTTTTTCACTGCCTTGAAAGGAGAGGTCCAAAATCCATTTGAAAAATACTTGGAGTCCTGTGGCTCTTGACTTCGCTCAAGGCACTGATGGCCGTTCTGCCTCAGGCAGCCGAATACCTTGGGCCACCCACCCCGCGTGCTCAGTGAATCGCATGAACGGAGAAAGGCTGTGAGTTTCTGGCCAGCTCGTGACAAGAAGTTCTCGCGCCAAACGGCTCTCTCTTCTCGTTCCGTTCACATTCTGCTTCCTGCTGGTTCGCTCTTGTAACTTTTAGATGGATGAAACGGCCTCGGTGCGGAGTCCCTGACAAGATTGGCGCTCAGGTCAAAGCGAACATGCGGCGAAAGCGGTATGCGCTGACGGGGCGGAAGTGGAATGAGACTCACCTGACTTTTAGGTATGTACTGTGGCTGTTCAGGTTTGCAGTGGGTTGATCTGGTTAGGTTGGTGGCAGGATTTTGAGGTGCAGTGGTTAACTGGTAGTACAGTGGTGCCTCGCTTAGTGATCGCTCCCTTGAGCAACGAAATCGCTTAGCGACGGGGTTTAAGCGATCGCAAAAGCGATCGCTTAGCGATGGTCCCTATGGGGAAAATTCGCTTTGCGATGATCGCGGGGAAGTGATCATCACAAGCCCCCATTTTCGGCCAGCTGATCGGCGGTTTCGAAATGGTCGCTGGAAAAACAAAATGACCGCCCGCTGTGTTGCCTCGCTTTAGAGGCATTGAAAATCGCCGCCCCTATGGAGGATTTTCGCTTAAGGTTAGTTTTTAAGCCCATAGCAATGCATTAATGGTGTTTTAATGCATTTCTATGGGCTTTTTAAATCCGTTTAGCGATGAAATCGCTTAGCAACGTTTTTTTCCTGCACGGCTTAACATCGCTAAGCGAGGCACCACTGTATTACAGTCAGAACTCAGCTCACAGCCAGCATTCAATCCCAGTGGATTCTGGCAGCCAGCTTGAGGTTTACTCAGCCTTCGATCCTTCTGAGGTCACTGAATGGCTCACAGGAGGGAGGGCAATGTGTAGCCTGTATAACTGAAAACTGTAAACTGCCCAGAGAGTGTTTTAAGGAGTACGGGATGATAAATCATCAGCACATTTTCCTTTTTTTTAATTTTGTTTTTTGTTTTTGCTTTGACTAATTTAGTTTAGTTTATTGTTATGGCCCATGACCAGAAAAAGACATTCAACATAATACAGGTTAAATTTATGAGACAATCACAATGCTAATACAGAGGGGGAAAGAGATCAAGGAAAATGATAGCTTTAAATCATTCCCATTAAAATCTTCATGTATCTTACACATTTGGTGCAAGTAAGTGTAATCTGAGGAGATCTTGACTGGGCAACTGGGAGCAACGATTCTCAAACACCACCACCCCCCCAAAAAAAAGCTTTAAGGGTTTTACAGCATGGTGCTTTAAAAGGAGCTTGATGCCAATTGCGTAAGTATGTTGGATAATGGAATTTTATTTGCAGTATCGGATGTTTGCAGAATTTAAAATGCTTTGGTAGCATATGAGTGAAGAAGGGTGGCATTCATATTGAAAAATGAAAGGGGTGGAGGCCAAGATTGGGAGGAGGCATAGAGAGGTGTATGATGTTGCATGCAGTGACGTCCTGTTCCTATTCTGTCAAAACATTTCCAGGACATCAACAGATAGCACCTCCCCCAGTGCTTTCAGACATAATTTGCAGCCACGAAGGGTAACAGCTAATTTCTGGTTCAGGGTGATCGATCTATGTATCTGTCTGTCTGTCTGTCTATCTATCTATCTATCTATCTATCTATCTATCTATCTATCTATCTATCTATCTATCTATCTATCTATCTATCTATCTATCTCAAACAGCCATAATATGAGATTATCACATTACGAGCAACAACAACATAATCAGCAATTTATATACCCCAAACTAACCTCCTAACTCTAGAGTCGTGTGATGAATGCTATGAGAGGTGCTCACAGGTACATACGGCCCTTAAAAGTTGTCCTGAAGAGTTCCATTCTCAGCATGTTTTTAAGGTCAGAAACGGAGATGGGCAGGAACCGCCGGTTCGACTGTTCTGCAGTTCCAAGCCCCGCCTCCTCCAAGGCCCTGCCTCCCAAGTGGGCGCCTGCTGGAGGAGGCAGAGCTTAGAACTGTGTTGCAAGCGCGGAACACCTGTTAGGGTGACAGACGAACCAGCACGAACCGCTGAGCCCATCTCTAGTCCGAAGGGTTGGCACTTGATGAACTGCCAGTGGTAGCTGTGTATTGTAGAAGGTTGATGTGGATTTTGCTGTGCAGCCAAGGGAGTGACGCTTAGGCTGTACAGTCCCTCAACTTCGGTCCCTGCTGGTTTTCCGGATGTCTGGAAGAGCAGCAGTGTCCGGATACCCTGGAAGAAACATTTCTTCCCGTAGCTTTTCTAGGTCTTAAAGCCTGACCCGTTTTCTGTGGCACAAGCCTTTGTAGGAAAACAGCCTGCTTCGTCCGATGGTGTGCCACATGCCCTGGGCAGGAAGGTGGTGGTGGCGGCGACGTATGGGTTGAGGTACAGTGGAGGAAAAACCGAAATGATGAACCAGGTGAGGCCCGAGGAGAAAATGTAAAAGGTGTGTCATTCAAGCCAGAGTGTCAGACGTGAAAGCACTCCTGTCTTTTGCATTTTTCTCAAACGTCAAAGCCTGAATGCCAAGCGATTGTTGCCATGCCTTACAAGGGCCTGTTCCTTCTGTGATGGAGGAATACCAAGAATCTGGAAAAGTTGTGTCTTTGGACTGCCAGTCTCGCAATGTATCAGCCCAGCAGGGCCACACGGACATTGCAGTCCAAAACAGTAACTTTTCCTAGCTCTGGATTTCCCCTTCATTCTTCTTGTAAAGTTGAATTCAACCTTCAATCCTAGCTTCTCCGCTTCTTTGCTTTATCTGCTTTCAGAGCTTTGCGTTAGGGATTATTATTTGGATTTTTTGGACTCTGGCTCCTAAAATTTCTCCATTTCGGAAGTTCCACCCTACACCTACGGACATCTAAACTTCGCTCCCTTGGAGAAAAAAAAATCCCGGCTTATCTTCACCCTTGGTTCCTGTTTAAAAATGGAAGCTACTTTAGGAGTCTTAAGGGAGCAAAATTTAAGTGTCTCTAGGCTTGGATCTTCAGGTTAAAACTCCTAGAGTGGAGAATTCTGGGCTCCAGAAAGTCCGAATGGCATATCGCGCATTTGCATCCTGGTCGGTAGATCGGAAAGACCCATGTGCCCTTGAGATGGGGGGGATTCCCGGATCATGCACACTTGCATGACCATGTTTCCCCTCCCCCCCGTCCACTGGCAGTAACCCCTTCCTCTGTTTCGTGTCTTTAGCATCCAGAACTACACAGAGAAACTGGGACCCTTCCACTCTTACGACGCCCTCCGGAAGGCTTTCCGCGTGTGGGAGCAGGCGACCCCGCTAGTCTTCCATGAGATCCCGTATGATGAAATCCGGCAAAAGAGAAGAAGGGAGGCCGACATCATGGTGCTCTTTGCCTCTGGATTCCACAGGGATAGCTCTCCGTTCGATGGGGCTGGGGGCTTCCTGGCCCACGCCTACTTCCCAGGAACTGGATTGGGAGGGGATGCCCACTTTGATTTGGATGAACCCTGGACGCTGGAAAATGCCGACGTCGCTGGTGAGAGGGGGGTCTTCGGGCAGAGAAAGGCCTTTTTGAAATAAATCCACCTCGTTGTGTTCAAAAACAGTTTGTGTTGACATAAATCTGGAACGCTTGGCTGGCGGAGCGGGGCCATCTTTTAATAGGCCATCTTTTCTAGGTGTGGCCAAAATGGTCTTCTAGAGGCTAGAGGATAAGTGCTCCTGCCTTCTCCCTTCTGTTTGGGGTCTGCGTTGTGGCAGTCCATGTCACACAGAGATTCTTACCCTTAGGGTAGGCCCTCGGGGGTAGGATGTTGTGTCAGGGTATTAAGAGAAGCAGGTGTCTCTTACAAAGAGATCTTGGCCAGAATCCTGTTCTTAGCTTGTACCTGAGTAAGGGAAAATCCTGTTGGTCTTGGTGGTAAATAGTCTCTCCTATAGAGTGCTGGTTGCATTTTTGGCCACGCATCCAGGAGTATAACCTGCGCCTTTGAAATAAGTGACAGACTTAACACAATTTCCGTTACACCTAGAGTGGTCGTATAGACCAGATGGGCAGGATACAAATCAAATAAATAAATAATAAACAAACAAACAAACAAACAAACAGGCGTACATCAGGTAATGGAGTCTGGCCAAATTGAGAGAGAGAGAGAGAGGTGTGTAATTTCAGAAGCAAACCAAACCTACTATACACATTACTTTCTTATTGCATAGTTTATTGCCTTGTGCTGTGACCTGCACATTTTCTAAAGGGGAGCCCGAGGCAAACATTTTATTTCTAAATTTATCTGTGCCTTTATTTATTTTGAGTTGTTACTTTCCAAATAAAAGAGAGGTACGGGGAGGCAGATTTGAAGGGAGGCGTGAGATCTATTTGTTTATTACCTCGCCTATCTCCCCTTTTCTTTTTTCTCTCTCTCTCTCTTTCTTCTTTTTCTTTTTTTCTTCCTTTCCCATCTTGGACTCTGATCAATCTGGATTTTATTTTTATGTTATAGGTAAACCACCCGGAGTAGACATGTTCTAGATGGGCAGTCTAGAAATTTAATAAATAAATTTTATTCATTCATTCATTCATTCATTCAGTCATTCAGTCATTCATTAGATTTCTATCCTGCCCATCTAGACCAAGGGTAAATAAATATTACAACCAGTAGACAGAGGAATAAAGAGGTAACATCTTGGCCGAGTTACTTTTTTGAACGAGAGGAAGGTTCAAATGGGTGCTGTATGGATTTGACAGGCTTCTTCGATGCCTGTCTTTGACAGACAGAGGGAGTTCATCTGCAGAGGAGGTGAGCATAGGAATGTCTGTGGTTCGGGAAGCTGTCCTCCCACCCTGTGCTTCTAGAGATGTGGAGAAGTGGGGTTCCAGAAAGACGACTGTGGTTCCATTTCCAGAGACCATTCAAAAGCCCCCCGCCCCGACACCCTTGTCTGTCACCAACAGGGAACAACCTCTTCCTAGTGGCGGTCCACGAACTGGGCCATTCGCTCGGCCTGGAGCATTCCAGCAACCCCAGTGCTATTATGGCTCCTTTCTACCAATGGATGGACACCGAGAACTTCCAGCTTCCTGAAGACGATCTTCGAGGCATCCAGCAGCTGTACGGTGAGTGCCGACCCAGCCAGGTGCTCGCTGGTGTGTATAGTTGTGTTTGTTTATGTATGTGTAGATAACAGGGTATAAGACTGGGATGATTAGCTGTCCGAGGCAGACAAGAAGGTTGTTGCACACCCCCATTTCTCTTGGCATATGACAGCGATGTGGACACATTACGTTGCTGTGGTTGTCATATTTGAAACCCAAAGAATACTTATGGACCTGGTTTCTCGTTGAGTGGGGGGAAATGCATGTGAGAAGGACACATTCCATTGTTACCTTCAAACCTGGTGATAAACGGTTTGTTTCAGAAGATACTAAAATTTCATCACGAAGCCTTGTTGAAGCATGCTGTGAGTCCTGTGTTGCCTACTTGGTATTTGATGCTGGTGGGGAACCGTCCATGCTGTTGAGGCCACTTGTCCAGATCAGGGGTCCCCCAGCCTTGGGCCTGCCTCCAGATGTTTTTGGACTTCAACTCCCAGAAGCCTTCACCACCACCTCTGCTAGCCAGGATTTCTGGGAGTTGAATTCCAAGAACATCTGGAGGCCCAAGTTTGGGGGACCACTGGTCCAGAGGACAGTACTGGATCCAAGGTATGAGCAGACCTCCCCAAAACAGGCTCAACGCCACTCATTCAGTTCAATGAGCCACCCACAAACAGCACCTGAGTTTTACTTGGATTGCGAGAAGGAAAAGGGAAGGAACAAAACCTTCTGGCAATTCAAAGACTGGCCGATTTATTTCAGTGTGGATTATTGAAAACCACTTAGAGTGGGGTCTTGACTTGAGAACTTAATCCGTATTGGAAGGCGGTTCTCAAGTCAAAAAGTCTGTAGGTCAAGTCTCCATTGACCTACAGTGCATTGAAAACCGATTAATCCCGTAAAAGGCCGTTTTTGTTCCATTTTGGTTTTTTTCTGGTCTGTAAATCAATTCTCAAGCTGCAAGTCAAACCTAAATTTTGCGGCCAGAGAAGTCTGTAACTCAAAAAGTCTGTAAGTCAAGCCGTCTGTAAGTCAAGGGTCCACTTATTTAAAGAGAAGCAAGAAAACGATTAAGTTCTTGATATTTATAGCCATCCCCACGGTGATGAGAGTCATGAGGCAAGGATAACAGACAAAGGAATAAACATATGTCAACGCAGGAATGGGACCATCAAGCTGTTAATGATTTGGGCTTGCCTAGCCAGGATGATAAAGTGTATGCCCAGCAGATTAGGCTGTTTTTGTTGTTGTTTAGTTGTTGTGTCTGACTCTTCGTGACCCCATGGACCAGAGCACGCCAGGCCCTCCTTTCTTCCACTGCCTCCCAGAGTTGGGTCAAATTCATGTTGGTCGCTTCGATGGCACTGTCCAACCCTCTCATCCTCTGTCATCCCCTTCTCCTCCTGCCTTCACACTTTCCCAACATCAGGGTCTTTTCCAGGGAATCTTCTCTTCTCATGAGATGGCCAAAGTACTGGAGCCTCAGCTTCAGGATCTGTCCTTCCAGTGAGCACTCAGGGTTGAGTGCTATTAGGCTGTTACAGGGATGCAAAAAGTTGTTTCTGGGCCAGAGGGCACAGTCTGTTAAAAGAGACCTTTATTTTGTACTCCTGAGATATTACAGAAATCTGACTTAATATATATTTTGTGCTAAGAAGCCTTGATCTGTATTTAGGCCACTGATGATAGGCTCAAACTTGTTTATGTAGCCAGTTTCTGGGGACATGAAAAGCAGAGCCCACTATCTAGTAGGTTTTTCAGTAAAACTTCCTCTCCCTTTTCCCTTTTCTTCAGGTACTCCAGGGGGCCAGCCTCACCCCACAAAGCCCCTCCCCACGGTGATGCCCAGAAGTCCCGATCACAAGCCCCCCAGGCTACCACCCCCCGGCAAGCCAGCCCAGCCTCCCAGGCCAGGCAATCCCGACCAGTATGAGCCCAACATTTGCGATGGCGACTTCGACACGGTGACGGTGCTGCGTGGGGAAATGTTCGTGTTTAAGGTACCAGCGTCCTGACCCTGTTGCTTTTCTCTATGAGGGCTAGATCAACCGTTTAGGACAGCCTGGAGATTTCCCAATCTTGGGTCCCTACATGTTCATGGATGACAGTTCCAAGAAATCCTGGCTGGCGCAGCAAGTGGTGATGAAGGCTTCTGGGAGTTTTTAGCCGAAGAACAGCTTGGGACCCAAAATTGGGAACCACTGGCTCAGTGTTTTAGATTGGGTTTTTTTCCCCACCTGCCTCTATTCCAGGCATGGAGTTGTTAGAAGAGGCTGTCTCTAGACAGTGGCGGTTTGACTTCTGCCCCACCCCAAACGGGTCAGTGCAAGGCAGGGAAAAGGCAAGGGCACCAAGAAGGAGTTGGAGAATCTCCCTTTTTCAATGTGCCTTTTATCTTTCTCTCTTCGTTCTCTAGGGCCGCTGGTTCTGGAGAGTCCGGCATAACCGGGTGCTGGACAATTACCCTATGCCCGTGGGTCACTTCTGGAGGGGCCTCCCTGGTAACATTGACGCTGCTTACGAGAGGCAAGATGGTCGGTTTGCATTCTTCAAAGGTGAGTTGGAGCAAGGAGAAAGCCATGGAAAATGTGAATTTTGGATGCTGCTAGGCTGAACTTTACTGGCTCAAAACACAACTTTCTCTCAGTTGTCTTCAAAACATATGGAATCTGAAAACGTAGCTGGCTTTGCTGGAAAACAGATTTTATTTAAAACTGCTCTTTGGCCTTCTTGCGAGCTCTTGGGCTCAATCCGTCACCGCCTAGGGAGGGGGCTAAAGAGGAGAGAGGCAGAGTGAGGGGTTAGTTCAGATGGTGTTTGAGTTGGAGAAGGATGCTCGATGGAGACTTAGTGTCGTGCCAATGGCTGGTCGAATTGTCAAAGATCTCTTGTATGGAGAATTAGTGCAGGGAAAGCGCCCCAGAGGGAGACCACAGCTGCGATACAAGGATACCTGCAAATGGGATCTGAAGGCCTTAGGAATGGATGTCAACAGATGGGAAACCTTGACATCTGAGTGTTCAGCCTGGAGGCAGGCATTGCATCATGGCCTCTCCCAATTTGAAGAGACCCTTGTCCAGCAGGCCGAGGCAAAGAGGAAGTCACAAAAGCAGCAAAACCAGGGAGCTGGACAGGGGACAGATTGGATTTGTCTTCAGTGTGGAAGGGATGGTCACTCTCGAATTGGCCTTCTCAGCCACACTAGATGCTGTTCCGAGGACGTTACCTTAGTCTCTCGAGACTGAAGGATGCCTAATATAAAAGAGTTTTTTCTGGGGTGTGTGGTGTGAAAGTGGGAGGAACCATGAAAAGAGTTCAACGAAAGGGTAAAGTAGAAATAAATAGAACAGTTCTTGATAACATTATAGTAAGACCCTGTATCTCTGGGGGATTGGTTCCAGGTCCCCCGGCTGTAGATACTGGAAAACACTGATGATAGCAAATGCTATTATAATAGTGAATACCACACATACAGAGCATGGTCTCTGGCTCCCTCTAGTGGTCCATTGTTCTAACTTCATTGTTAAAAATACGTTTTTGTTTTCGTTTTTTAACATTTTTAATATTTTCAAACCGTGGATAAATGAATCAGCTGATACTGATCCCGTGGATAAAAAGGATCTTACTGTATTGATATCTGAATATAGATTATTAGCTTGTTCAAGCCTTGTAAAATAAAATGTTTTGTTGTTACATTGACTCCTGTCTAATTTTGTTCAGTTTGGGAACTGTGGATCCCTTTCATGCCACACTTGGTTCCTTTGGTAGCAACTCTGGATCCGTAAAGTTTTGGAACAAACAGTGAATGGCGTAGCTTCTCTAGGAGACATTTAAGGGGAAACAGGATCCAAATATCTGGAAAAACACAGAAAATGAAGCAGAGTTGCATCCTGTGACTTCAGCGGGCAGGAGTAGAATCAATAGGAAAGTCAACGAGCGGAGTCTGATAGACAGCAGGATAGGAATCAGGCAGAACTTGGTACAAGGGTCTTCAGTGAGTTGTTCCCTGCCTAGGGATGCAAATCATGATCTGGTTCATTCTCACGCTAACGGAGAAAGTGCAAAAAAAGAAACATTATTGGCTGCCGTATATAAGTTTTTAAAAATGTATTTGTTTTTAAATGGATCTTGGGGAGAATTGGCACCTTTGTTGAGGCTACTTCTTGGAGATTTCTGAAAACGTGCATGTTTTTTAGCTACTGGGTTCCCTGAGCTATTTGAAATGGAGAAGCATTAGACGGGTTGCTTGCTTCTTTAGGAGCAATCAGCCTCTACTTCTCTGCTTGCCGAGACTTGATGCAATCGTGCAAACCTTCGTGGGGGGTAGTGATAAGAGGGTTATTTTTTGTTGTACCGGATGCAAGACAAGCTTATGGGAGACTCTCTGACAGATGTTATTGCCTGAACTGACCGTCAATGAAATGTTGGCGAGATGTCAGCCTTGTTTTCTCCATGTCTGCACTTCTCCTCCAGGGAATCAGTACTGGCTTTTCCGTGAAGCGAATCTGGAGCCCGGTTACCCACAGCCGTTGACTAGCTACGGGCTGGGCATTCCTTACGATAAGGTGGACGCTGTCATCTGGTGGGAGCCCACGGGGCATACCTTCTTCTTCAGAGGGGACAGGTGGGTTTATGTGGCAGGCGGTGGGCAACCAAATCTCCAGACAGCTGGAGAACCTCCAGCTCTCTCCCCCTGCACCTCGCCTTTATGGGAAGCATGCACTGCCTCCAGAGATCCGGGAAACCGTATCTCTTCATCCCGGCACCCTGCAGGGCTGCAGTCACAATGGACAGACATAGACATTTTTTTTCTTACAAAAATTTAGAGTTTGGTTTTTATTGAGAATACACGTTTGCACGTTCTAGCAGCAAAAGAGATTTTTTTAAAAATTAAAGGGGTGGGTGGGTGCACCAGTGCTTGCCTCCCCCACCAAAGAGGACAGATGTCATCATTTTCTCCCTCACTGCCTGAAGCTTTTGGGCAGCATTCTGTGGCAGGATGCATGCTGCCCACCACTGCTTTAGGGGGAGCCAAGGTACCGTATTTTTCCTTATATAAGACACCCCCATGTATAAGACACCCCTCACTTTTCTAATCCAAAATTTAGAAAAATAAGTGGGGCTTAGCAAGTGTAGGGGGAAAGGGATGAAAGCGCTGCAGGATCGCTTTGATCCCTGCTTTCCCCTCCACTTGTTTTTGTTCTCTCCTCAGCTTACTTCCTTGTATAAGACGAGCCTCGATTTTAGTCTAAAGATTTTAGACAAAAGTATAGTCTTATACACAGAAAATATGGTATATAGCAAAGATGCCTATATAATATCCATAGAAAGGACATATTTCTCCCCACCCGCATCTTAAATATCTTCTCTGCATCCCCATCTTGTAACTCAAGATCCCCAGTTCTGTTCCTGATAGCAATCACGGAACCCGGTTCTTTCCAACACGTGTTCCTTTACCTAGAACTAATTTGTTCCAAAGTTCAGGCACTGACTTTCAGAACAGAGGATTCAAACAGGCAGAAAGTGTCATGTCTGGGATGAAACGAAGTTAGCTGCTCAAGAGGTACCCAGACGCCTCCAGAAGTAAGGAGGTTGGATTTCAGAGGTGGTGTGGGGTATCGTTCGACCAGAGAGGCAGGCCTGAAGTTTTCCAAGAGATTTTTGGCCAGTCCCTGTTTTTTTTCTCAGCAAAACTGACCCCAGGGAGCTGCCTTGTGTGGAATCAAACTGTGGGTCTATCTAGATCAATATTTCCAACTCTGAATGGGAGCAGTCATTTTCCAGGGTCTCGTTCTCTGCTTCTTTCTCAAGATATCAGGGGTTGAACCTGGGACTTTTTGCATGTCAAATATGTGCTCAGCTGCTAAACTGCATTTCCCCCCTCCCCCCAGCTCCTGTTGATCACAGAAGAATTTTCAAATGTGTCTGCTTTCACACATAGGTATTGGCGCTTTAATGAGGAGAGCCATACGGTGGATCAAGGCTACCCGAGAAAGATCAGTGTGTGGGCGGGTGTCCCCCATACGCCCAAAGGAGTCTTTTTGAGTGCTGATGCAAGTAAGTTCAACAAAACAAAAGCTAGTACAGTGGTGCCCCGCATTACGACGTTAATTTGTTCCAGCGAAACCCGATTGATGCATTCCTAGGGGCTTGAAACTCACCGTCCAGCGAAGATCCTCCATAGCGTGGCCATTTTCGCTGCTTGTGCAGTGAGGAATCCGTCCCAGAAAAGAGTGGGGAGCCATGTATTTTAACCGGCAGCCATTTTGAAACCGCTGATCAGCTGGCCGAAAATCATGGCTTTGCGGGAATTGGTTCCCAAAGCAGGGAACCAATCATCGCAAAGCGAAAATCCCCCATAGGAAACATTGTTTTGCAATCGCTTTTGCGATCGCAAAACCTTCAACGTAAAGCGATTTCGTCGTAAAACAGAGTGCTCGTAATGCGAGGCACCACTGTACTAGTAATACAGATGTTTATGCCTAACAATATCACTGCTCCCAGACTTTGCAACTCCCTCCCATTGTTACCAATTTAAATACTATATTTTAATGATTGTAAGCCGCCTTGGGTCCTTTTTAAGGAGAAAGGTGGGTTTAAAACATAAAAAGGGAGGGAGGGAGAGAGGGAGGAAAGGAAGAAAGGAAATAAAAAGGGGGAAGGAAGGAAGGAAATAAACAGGAGAAGGAAGGAAAGAAGGAATTAAAATGGAAGGAAAGAATTAAAATGGAAGGAAGAAGGGAACAAAGGAAAGAAGGAAAAATATAAACAAGGAACTTTTGTAGAGGGAGGAAGAAAATAAGGCCACCCTAATTCTTCCCATCTCCACTGGTGAAAAGGTTGGAGAGGGACCGGCTCTTAGAAGCATAAAAAGCTGACGTGTCCTAAGTTAGACCTTTGATTTATCGTTGCTTCCTCCATCTGACTATCTTTCAAAAGTATCTGTAATCAGGTTTGTCTCTTGCTCTTTTTCCCAGCCTACACTTATTTCTACAAAGGCAGGGTGTACTGGAAGTTTGACAACGAGCGGCTGAAGACGGAGCCCGGCTACCCCAAGTCCATTCTGCGGGACTTCATGGGGTGCCACGAGGAGGTCCCTGTGAACCCCGACCCTGGCCGCAGATGGCCCGACGTGGCCAAGCCTCCCTTCCATCCAGACGGCGCAGGGCGGGAGAAGGATGAGGAGGGGGTCGAAGAGGAAGAACACGTGGACGCGGGCCCGGCGGAGAAAGATGAAAAAGATGCTGAGGGCGATTACGGCGATGGCGCAGACAACGACCGAGAGCAGGGCCCTGGCCGTGACAATAGCAACGACGTGGATATTGTGGTGCATATTAATGATTATCCCTTGACCCTGAGCGTCGTCATGGTGACGGTGCTGCTGCTGCTCCTCCTTTGCATTCTCGGCCTTGTCTACGTGATGGTACAGCTGCAACGCAAGGGCCCCCCTCGTATGCTTCTCTACTGCAAGCGGTCCCTCCAGGACTGGGTCTAAAGCCGGATCATCCTCACAGGTGGCCTCGGGGGGGGGGTCTCCTTCCTCTCCATCTCCGAGAAGCCGTCCTGAGTCACAAGAGCTGCTGAGGTCTTCCCTCCCGAGGGAGAACCTTTTGAGGTGCCTGGGTGCCGGGCGGGTTGCTTCCTCTTCCCCGGACCTCGTCGCTTCCGGTAGAATTGAAGACGGTCGCCAGGAAGGCTCTGTGCTTCGTACCTGTGTGCCTCGGCCTTGACTGGGAATTGGGTGGGGGTGAGTGGCTGTTTTCCTCTACGGACAACGCAGTAGGCTTCAAGCGATGCTCTGCACCCCTTTTGGAAAGAGCGGGCCCTCCCTAAACCCCGTGTGGACGTGTGGTTTCCTAATAATGTACTACTGGACATCGGTCCTCCAGATCCCGTTTCCTGCTCTAGGATCGAGTCTGTGCTTGTTGACCCAGAACGGTGTTTGTAAGGGCCGTGAACGGACGAGGCTGAATATATTCTCTCCCTTTCGTGCATGTGCTCTAGAAATGTCGGCCTGACACCTGTCGGCCTTGTGGGAGTGCAGGGCGATCTTTCGTTCCCCCCCCCCGCCGAGGGCCAGTTGCAAACACATGCTTCTTCTAACAGCTGCCTTTGACGGAGGGCCGTGCCCTTGAGTGGCTAGCATCCGCCGATGTACAGAGCAATCGATATCCTGAAAACCTTGACGTTGATTTTTTTTGGTAGCTCGTTTTCACCCAGTAGCCTTGTTTGGTTGCAAAGCAAAACTTGGAAAATGTTTTTTTCCCCTATTGTAAAAAATTGCTAGTTGTTTACTACTGCTGAAATCTTTGATGCCAAGATGTGCAGGAGGGGGAGGCGGAGCAGGGCTTCTTCAGAGAAGACGCCGCTTCGAGTGCCTAAAAATATTCTGTGCCTCTCCTTCCGAAGGTGCTTGACTACTTGTCTCCCTTTCCCCCCGCGTTCCCTGTGGCTTTATCCACTTCCATTCCCCTGCACCCAATCCTGGCTGTGAATTGAGGTCAATGCTGGAAGGCAGAAGACCCCCAGGATGCAGACGCAGACCGGGCTTGAGTCTTTTCCTTCCTTCCCTGTCCGTACAGGAGTTGTGATGGGTGTGTCAGTGAGGAGGAGCTGCTTGGCTCTACCTTGTGTGCCAGCAGCCCAAAGCTCTGATCAGCAACGGGGTAGGTGGAGAAGGAACACGTGTTTTTCCCCTAAATGTCCACACCTCACCTTGCTAATAAACACTGGTGTATTCTGGGCTCCGCGATTCTGGTAACAAGAGGTTACCTAGGGTTAAAAGAGACATTGCCGTGCTCACGGCATTAGAAGGGGTCCTCTGTTGATAGAGGAAACAGATTCATTTATAGTCCAAAAGGTAGTCACACAACTCCGTATATGGCTCCTGGGAACGGCATACCTAGCTTTCTGAATGGGGATGGTAGCAAGGATGTGTTGGCCTATAGCCCACATGTAGAGGCTGCAGATTTTGGATTTCTCACCCCCCCGAGAGAACTTTAGAGTGTTTGTGCTTGCGTGTGTGTGTGTGTATATGTTGGGCTGTTTTGTACATTCCAAAGAGGCTTGCTCTTAAAACCAGTGTGTGTGTGTGTGTGTGTGTTGGGCTGTTTTGTACATTCCAAAGAGACTTGCTCTTAAAACCTGACTGGTGGCCCTTCTCAAGCCACCCACACCCAGCGCAAGAAGCTGCTGCTTTTTTGTGCACTGCTTGTCCCTGCTTCCTTCTTTGGCTCCTGACTCGCTTAGAACTCCTCTTCCTGCCGCTATATCCTTCCTGCCTTTCAATATACAGAACCGAGCAGGATGGTGCAAAGTAAGCAATGGGGGATGAACGGCACGGATTGCACGCTTGCCAAGGGCCTTTGTGCAACCTTCGGGGCGGCTGGGTTTTATATTTCTGCCTCGTGTTGTCAATGAGAGGTGGAACTTAATTCCTGCCTCGAGAGGAACAGGATTTTCTGACCTGTCAGTCTTGTACAAATTCCGTATATCTGCTTATCAGATTGTTTATTCTCCCGCTGCAAAGTGTAGTGAGCGTTTGCCTCTGGAGATGACCGGAGTTCTCATTCAAGTGAAGGACGGGGCTGGCCCGGATAGATCTTTCTGCTTTGAACATGGTGCCGCCCTCGGGTGGATGAGGATGGGGGATACGAATCAGCAAAGGCTGACATCTGTTTGTCTAAACGTGGCTCCTTCGACCGGAACAGCACAGACTCTTCTCTGCAGTTTGCCTTTTAGCCTTTCTGATAATTAATGATTTAAAAAATGAAGGTGCAGAAATAACGAGGGAAGGAACAAAAATGGGTTGCCTGCTTTGGCACCAAGGAGGAAAAAAAGCACTGATTCTGCTCCTTAAAAAAGGATGGTGAATAATGCAATAAATGTACTAGAGTTTTGAAAAATGTTGAGACTACAGTTCTCAGAACTCCTGGCTGGAGAATTCTGGGACTGGTCAATTCCACCCCCCCTTTAAGGTTTGAAATTAACGTAGGATGAAAAGGAATTTTAAAAAAATCAAGTTAGGCTTTTGTGCATTTATGTACACTAGACATATATTGAAATCTGAATGAACATAAGAATAGTAATTTATAAAAATATGATCCAATTAGAGTTAACAGTAACAAGTAGTGCTAGCATTTCTTGGACGGAGGTGCTGCTAACTGTAAAGAGTCTTAAATTTCAACATCGTAATCCAGTTGTGCAAACCGAAGTCGAGCTCCTAACGGAATCTTTAGCCCCGAAACTGGAAAACTTTATGCGTTGGACTGTGATTTACAGAGTATTCTAGGAAGCATGTAACTTTTCCAGTCTCTGATTCAGCTGCCATATTTACTGTGCCGTTTCCCACTCCACGCGGGATCCTGGAAGCAGAATAAATGTTGCAAGGAGAGTAATTGCATGTAATTTGCAAAAAAAGGTAGGTAGGGTTCGAACACACACACACACACACACCCCTTCATCTTCTCAGCTGTCAATATTCATAGAGAACAGGTCAGTAATTTCTGACAGTAACCCTTCCGAAGGACCCTTTCAGTGCCAAGCAGTTTTTTTTCCATTCCTGCCATTGCAAAAAACAAACAAACAAACCACAAAGCCAGGTTTGTTGGCTTCCCAAAGTGAATTACGTTTTCCAGTGTATGCATAAATTATTTCGAGGACAAAAGTGTGAGCTTTCTGCAGCACAGGACTTGGATGGGCTGAAGGGATCTCCCATGGGTAGCAGTCCTTTAACTGATGTTTGATTAAAACATGCTGTCGGTGATTGCTGGGAGAGAATTTGGCTGGCTGAATTCAGTGGAGTCTCTCCTACCACATTCTAAACCGTCGCCAGTAATAATACTGGTCTTAAGGCATGACAGGTGGTCCCTCTCGCTTCTTGGTAATAAGTGTTGAAACAGAATTGTGTGTTTGGCCAGGTATTGCTTTTCCTCTTCTTCAGTCTTGAGTCCCAGGGCCACTGCATGCTACAACAGCCTATTAAACTCTGGTTTTAACATGGCAGGATTCAGCAAATGTGGTATGCCAAGATCTGAGATGATGAGAGGTCAGAAATATGTTGTTCTTTTGAGGACTTCAACTCCCAGAACCACCCAGTACTTTGTTGGGTAGGGGATTTTAGGAACTGTAGGTTTAAAAAAAATCCAAACTCTTGTCTACTGTCAAATGTTGCCTTATATGTGCAGAATATGCCAGTGCAAAGTCCGTTTCTCACACCCAGAAATGAACAGAGGGAGGGAAACAGCTTTGTCAAACACAAGATTTGAGCTGATAAGTGTCAGAGGGTGGGATTGCTCTCCCCTCTCAATAATGTGCCTGCAATGTGGTTTTAGCATGTGCAGTCTTGAAAGGAAGCATTTAGTAAGAGGAGCGTTCTTGCAGGAGGCTGCGAGTTTGTCCGTTCCATTCCTGGACTCGCCGAATGAGTTGTGTCTCTGTGAGTGTCAACATTTTGGGACGCAGAGTGATGTTACCGGGTTGCAGCTGCTCCCTTAACACCCGTCAAGTAACCCCTGATTGCTCTGGAGGGAGTATGGCCTAGGGGCAAAGCCAAAGGGGTTCTTGTGCAGAAGGCACCGGGTTCAAGTCCTGGCATCTGCAGGAAAGAGTGGGGAAAGAATCCTGGCTCAAAACCCTGAAGAGCCGCTGTCACCCCTCAGCTGGAAGGGGCCACAAGTCTGACCCGCTACACGGCCACTTCCTACATTTCTCTGTGTGATCCTTGTGACAGAGCAAGTCTTTGTGACTGATCTGATGGCTTAGAGCCCAGTCTAATGACTATCATGAACATGTGTCCAGGTGGCTTCCTGGCCACTGAATATCCAGATGTGTGGTTTTTCTCTTAATTTTGCCTTATTTGGTGAGCTACCTGCGTGGCTTCCATGAAATCTTTTGTCTATAGATAACAGGCACTATCCAAGGCTGTTTTGTCTAGCTACTGGTTGCTCTTTTATGTGGCACTGCACAAATGTCTCCTTATATCACAAATATCATCCTCTCTCTCTCTTCCCCACCCTCCAGCATTAAAAAAAAAAAACATTGCTAGGTAGCCTTTTGTGGGGCAAGTGTGCTACTAATTCACATGGTTCGGGTGTTTTCAGTGTCCTGGTTTACAACATCGCACCTTGCAAAAAAGCAGCAAATCCGTCCATGCCCTGGAATGTCATCTCTCCATCCTTCTGCTCCTTCTGTCTTGTGGCTGAAATGAAAGGTTTCTGGAGGGGGGGGGTCTTAAAGAGGAGATCTGAAGCAGGAAATCTATGTGTGTGTATGTGTGTACACCCTTGCCCGTTTCTGTGCCTACGGGCGCCACCCTCTTATTCTTTCTGCTGCCATTTTGTCGGGTCAGTTCCTGTGTTCTCTCCCGTTTTCGTCCCGTCCTGCTGATTTTGTCCAGTTGTCCCACAATAAATCCCGTCAACCCAGCTGGTGAGTGACTACTTCATTGTCTCTGCGTCCAGCCCTCTGTCGCTTCGGTCGCCTCCGTACACTCCGAGGTCAGACGGCACGGATTTTTGCTTTCTCCCATTTGCCTCCTGTCCCCCGTAAGGGTGCAGCTGTGGATGTCAAGGGCTTTCTCTTCACACTCAGCGGCTGGTGTCCCCCCCTCCAAGGCCTGCGAAGACCTGGCCTTTCTTGGCAGGCCTGGTTCCCAGGCTTCTCCCAACCTACTTTCGCAGCCGGGGCAGAAGCTGAAACGAACGGGTGACAGCCTCGCCCATCGGAATGTCCTCACACTTGGATCTTTCCAGGATCGGATTCTGAAACACACTGTTAAGAATGTTTAGGGGTCAGTGTAAACAGCTGGTGCCATCATCCTTACCCCCACCACCACCATCACCTTTTTTGGTGAGAATATAAAGAGATGGATTTGAGGCTCCCTTCCAACGGGATGATCATAATGGAATTTTCGTGCAGCTTGCTTAGGTCCAAAGTTGCTCATGATGGGTTAATTGGAATAAGCAGCCAGACTACGGATCGGGACCGGCTGCTGCGATTGTGTCACACACACACATCAGCAACAGCTTCACAGCTTGTCCATTTATTTTCAGGCCCAATTCATGATCTCTAAAGCCCTTTTTACAGCTTGGGTTTAGTGGGGTTTGAAGGACTGCCCCCGACGACGTGCATTAAAATCCTCTCCTCTTGGTTCCATCACAGTGAGGACCCAAGAGGGTTTTTTTTTCCCTGGGGCTGAATCCACATTATAAACCCCCCCCCCTTCAAAGGTCTGGTTGGCTGCTTCCTTCTGCCAGCAGGAAAAAACACAACTCTTTAGAGAGGCTTTTAGGGA